TGTATGATTCGCCTTGAATTTATGTATACTTGTTCTTCGCCTCCAAAATATGTAGAATATGATGAAATTTATGTTCAATGGAGGTCCTCCCCACGTTCTGGTTGAGTTTGGTATTTAAAGGATGCCAAAAAAATTGCATTGAATTGTTACCAAAACAAACATAAGGAAAATTGGATTTTTTTCCTTTTTGCCTTGAGGCGTGTGCCTAGTACAACCTAGGGCTCACGCCTTAGGTGTTTGGGCAGAATCAGGTGAGGCTTTTTGGTTGGGGCGCGTGCCTCTCCTGTAGGCAGCTGAATAGCTATCAGTAGGTTTATCATAACTTTCTCCCTCGATATCCGATTGAGGTGATTCAAAGTGCATTGGAAAGCTAACTCGAAGGAATACAAATCGTCTAGAATTATAATGTTTCCAATTCAAACATTTCCTATGCCAAATATGGGTCTCAAACTGGGACTAAAAATCGGAAGCATAACTTTTTCGGCTGGAAGTTGATATGTGATAGTACTTGGACTATATTTCATCCCTTTGACTTCTTTCCTCATCCAATTGATGCCTAACACTCTCAAATATTTATCTTGAGGTTCGACGTAACTTTTTTAGTTCCCAAACTTTGTATATGATACAATGGAGCCCTTTTCCATTATCTTTGCATTCTTTTCTCCAATTCTTCATCAAACATTGAGTTTTACCTAAAAAAATGAAATATAATACAAGTTAGGTAATATTTTATCCAAAGAATAGCAAAATATCATTATTTAGGACAGCGAATAAGTATAGAAACTACACTTATCACACCCCAAACTTGATTCTTTGTTTGTACTCAAACAAAACTAAAACCTAACAAACACACAAACATACAATGCTAATTACCTAATTGGTGGCCAATTAATCAAGTAAAGCAAAAAAAAAAAAAAAAATAACTAATTAACCTGACTTTTTATCTTATGATTGAAATCATAATATCAGATCTATGCATAGCTTCAAAATCACAATTTAGAAATTAAACTCTACTTTTCTAATGTTAAATAGATGTGTGTGTGAAGAGTTAAGCATAGGATTATGAATTTATGAGTTTTTTCAATTTTCGACCCTCAATGGTCAAATATATTTGTTCATTACTCGTAAGATTCACACACCTCCAAATTTATTTTTTTTGCTCTTTTCAAGTGTGAACTAAAGTTGAATTTTATACTATCCCCACCTCTCTATTTTAGGGAAATCTCACTAATTGTAAGTTAATATGTCAATAAATAAGGATTATCTATTAAATTTGATTGATTCAATCTCTAGAACTTAATTAGGTTAACATTCTCTTATCAAAAGTCAAATTTTCTTAAACAAGTGTTTGAAACTTAATCAAGGCATTTGGTGTGTCTTCTGTTTTATGTACCTTTTTTTTCTATAATTTTTTTCTCTCAATTTTTTTTCAATATTTTTTTTCTTTATTTGCAATATTCTCTCCATTAACCTTTCTAAATGACCCATGTAATAAGATTTAGGCTGATGACTCCCAGGTCAGTTGACTTTAGGGCAACATGTTCTAATACCCTTACAAGGTTAATAACTCAAGTCATAAAGGTTATTAAGAGAAATTTTCAAATAAAATGTGCTTTTTTTATGTCTTGATTAGTGCAATGTCCCTTATTAAACACTTATTCAAGTAAAATGATTGCTAACTTGAGATTTTCACCCAATTACATCCTATTGACCTTAGACAGTTTACACAAGATTTTTAATTTTACACATGAAATTTTCATTTATCTCAACATCTTCTTACAACAGTGAAATCCCCCAAACTATTATAAATTTGGTCTAAGGATGTAAAATTTAGTGGTTTTGAATTTAGCATCAATGGTCCACTATTTCAACCTATTCAATTATGAAATCAACTCATTCTTACACAATGTTTAACTTAATTCATGTGCTCCATATATATCAAATTTCATATGGAAAAACAAAAATTAATCTAAGCATGCAACTTATTCACCATTTATAGATCAATTTTTAATTCAATATATTCATCATTGTCAGTCAAACCAAATAACTCACATAAGCACACAAAAATAAAATATTTTTATTATATTATATTAGTATATTTTTATTTTTTTGAAATTTTTTCAATTTTTCAAACTTCTTTTTTACTAAAACAATAAAAGCACACAAAAACACATAAAAAAAAACTCGTGTTTTTCACCCCCAAACTTAAACTAGACAATGTCCTCAATGTCATTAACTCTAAATCCGTATAGAAAGGGGTGGGGAAGAAAGTGAAGAAAAAAACTCCCTTAATATAGATTGTAATTCAATTGTTAGCTTTCCCTATTGGTTCAATGGTTCCTTGGTCAATTTTGGTTTAAATATTCCGCAACGTTATGTTACTGAAAAATCAAATAAAGTATTAAGATTAAATAATTGGAACAAATGTTACTTAACTCTAACATCTAATAAACTAATTAATATATCGAAAATATAAGGGGAAATGAGGTATGGATGATGAATTACAAATAAATTTAAAATAAACTAAACTATTCTAAAACTCAAAAACAAAATAAATAAAAAGGAAAAAAGTTTGGGTTGCCTCCCAAGAAGCGCTTCTTTAACGTCACTAGCTTAACTTTGTGTTATGTTTGCTCATGGTGGCTTGAACCAAATTATGTCATCATTGCAATTTTCATTTATGTATCTTTTTTTTTTTTTGCTCTCCATAGTTTGATATTTCCATTTTCATCTCTACCAAGAAGCTCACCAAAGTTTGATTTTCTATTCTGACAGCTTTGTTGATCAGGTGGCTTTTCTTCATCAATTCTAAAGCAATGATTTTTNTGGGTTGTAATCCAATGTGTAGCTTCATATTGCTTCCGGTGGCTCCTTGGGCAATATTGGTTCAAATATTCTGCAACGTCATGTTCCTACACAATGTGATCAAATAAAGTATTAAGACTCAAAAATTTGGAACAAGTGTTCTTAGCTCTAACATCTAATAAACCAACTAACATATTGAAAATTTAAGGGGAAACGTGATATAGATGATGATTCCCTAAAATTGAATAATAAAATAAAACTAATCTAAATTATCCTATTACTAGAAAGCATAATAAATAAAATGGAAGAAATATTGGGTTGCCTTCGAATAAGCGCTTTGTTTAAAGTCATTAGCTTGACTTTGTTGTTTCGGCATCATGGAATTTTGAAGAATGCTTTTGATACTTTGCTCAGTTTGCCTCTTCTGACTTTGCTCCACTTTTCATTGCTCCTACAAATTTTAACACCGCCCTCTCCAATGCGATATGATATGCCTATTTCCTCCGATTTAAATTCAACTACGTAGAATTTTTCCTTCTCTTCAAGCTTAATTACAAATTCAATGATAGGACAACCAATGAAGTCGACAGAATGTAGGTTAACGTCTTATTCATTAATTGCCTCCTTTTCGTTTTGTTCCTTTGTAATTCATCTTTCATCGTCTTTATTCTCGTCTTCCATAATT